TAAAATTAATATAATTTATATATATATATATTATTATATATATTATTTATATATATATATATTATATCTATATATATATAGCATATTATATAGATATATTTTGATATGCATAGCGCCAAAAAAAGCTGACAAAAAACGTTACATGCTTTTTTTTAAAAGGGAACAAGTTTATGTCTTCAATTCCGAAATGCTGGCTAAAAACTGGCTGAAAAAAAAATACGACATTTTTACAGGTTTTATATCTCTGTACAATATATTATATATTACTCTGTACAATATATTACAATATATTAACAATATAGAATGGACAAATATTGTTCGATTTTATTATTTATTTTCTAATTTTTTACGCATTTCTTCGATGGGCAAATGGCAATAGCCAAGAGGAAACGGTGTGCGGAGATAAATTTCATTAAAAAATTACTGTAACGCCGAGTAATCCTGTACGTTGTTGGAAATTTAATTAATTTGCAGTGATAATTGCAATTGAACTATCGCTGTTGTAGGGTTTAATTTAATTTATTTTGATATTATTTATAAAAGTTTTTATTCATCTTGGGAAGTCAATGAAATTCTGGATTTTTGCGGTGAATTTGAACTATAAGAATTGAACGATTCGATTAAATTGGCAATAACTTGAGAATTCCAGGAAGCAATCCCCGGAATTTCCACTCTCCCCAGTAATTTCCGTTGTCGTTCAAATCGGGAAATTAGTTTCATCGCGTATTCAAAGAAAGTGCGGGACTTTTCGAATAAAAATGGGGGTAAATTCCAAACAAATTGAGGGCTTGACTGTTAAAATTCAGAGAGTAATTTTTTTCAACTAGTCAATTGTCCGCGTAATTAATTTTTGTGTTTTAGTTAATTGTAAATAATTAATTTCGCTTTTCTGCGATGATTTTGCGAGTTCATTTTGCTCTACTTGAGGGAACAGAGAATTTTTACCGAATTTTGGAGAGGTAAATCGGTTTACTGATGAATGAATCAGGGGGTATCGATATAATATCGATAAACGATATTCATGAATAATCGTGGTGACAATGGCAGAAAGGAGAGGTTAGATATATGTTTGAGGGAAGAATCGAAGCGATATCCGCGTGCTGTGAATCCAATTCTATTGAGAGGAAATTGGGAAGGGTCGGATTATGCAACCGATATTTAGCAAAATCAGATATCGGGAAGTGGATCGTACAAAGAAAATTATCGAGGAAAATTCTACTGCAACGATACACTCTTTAATTTAATTGAATTCGCGGTCTAATTATCTTGAAGTATTTCAATAAATTTTATTACTAAAAAATCAAAAAATTGGAAAACCTGAAAATTCCCGTATTTTTATTTCCCATATTTACGTCTCATTAAAAATTACATGAAACCTCACGAATTTCTCTGAATTCCAAACACTTCAAGTTCCATGACAATTCTCCATGAAACCATTCTTAAAAACGGAAAAAATAAATCAAAGCTGAAGTTCCAGTAAAAAAAAATACAATTTCTTATTTAACTGGAAATTTAACCGTAGTCTATCCCTCGCCCCCCCCCCCCCCCCCCCCCCCCCCAAATAAATTTGCCCGATTTTCCTCTGATCTGGTATTTCGAAAAATACCAGAAATAGAATAAATTATGACTCGTTTATGTCATGTCCATGAGTGCATGACACGAACATCTGAAAGAATAAGTAAAATACGAGTGCCCATGGCGTCACGTGTTGTTATGGTTGGCAGTTATAAGACGATAATGTTTATCGTCGTCTCATGATCATGGGGGGGAGGGGGTGGGTTGAGGTAAAAAAAGCATTAACGAGAGTGACGCCAGGACTTGGAAGGGTATTGAAGGGAGTTGCCCTCCCAATAGTGCGAAAAAGAAAGATCATTTCTCCACTCACAACTCCACGACCTAAATTTATTCTCCCTCACCACCCCATTCACCCCATCCACCCTATCCACCCTATTCACCCTATCCACCCCATCCACCCCCCTTTTTCACCCTCCGGCTCATTCACTCCCTTGTCTCTGTGTAGTTAACCCAGAACTGAAATTCCCTGGCTTTCATTGTTTACGATGCGATGGAGATCTGATTGATTATCGCTTGAGATTATGGGAACATCACTGGGGCACGATAAATTGTCCTCCAAGGGGATCAGCCCAGATGTCACGATGAGAAATTGTCCACAAATGCGAGAATAGTTCCGTCAGAATTTGTGGAATTGGTGATTTTTTCTTGAGGTACATCGATTCTTGATTTTTTTTTATTCACTTGAATTAGAGTTGATTTATAATCAATCAATCAATTTCAAGGGTTGATTGTTGTTCGAATTATATTAAAATATTAGACCTCGCGGAAAACCGTGTATATGTTAATATAATTGTAAGTGATAATAATAATAATAATTATTATTATTACCATAATTTATTTTTCTCCATAATTTTTACCTCAAGTGATTTACCCACACAATTTAATCCATTAGGGTCAATATTGTGGGTCAAATCATGTTATTTGATATCGAGGGTCAAGTGAAAAAATCGCTAGCTGTCGGATTTGAACTTACGAACCGTGGGTTACTACTCTACGTTTTTACCCACATAGCTATTAAGTTCTATTATAGTTTAGTCCCAAAAAACCTTCAGATTCCATGAATATTGATATTGTTTTGGCAATTGAAATTCATAAATAAGACAAGACCAAGTCAATTATTTATTTACGAAAAAAAATCGCATTCACCGATCGATTGTCCTTGAAAATGATTCAACCGATCGTTCGATTCGTTCATTTATTCTCTCTCAAAAAGCAAATTGAAATGAATTTTTTTTTAATTAATCAATTACGTGATTTGATTATTATTCAGCGACAAAATTTTCTGCACTTTTTTACAGCCTTGAAAATTCAAATAAATAAATAAAATCGCGGAATTGCCGTTTGTAAAAAAATAATTGAATATCACAATTCGTTTGAGGATAAAAAATGGCATTAAGTGATGGATTGTCCTTGAAATTAGAGGTCAATTGTGCGTGAAAAATCATTTTTTTCTCCTTTATATCAGTTCATGTTGACTGATAAACCCCAAAGGACGGAACCGAAAGGAAATAGGAAGAAAGATTCAGTTGGGGTGGTATATGTACAGAAAGGGATGCTGTATAACTAGCTCAAGGGTGTGGTTGCTAAGTAACGTGACGTCACTACCGACGCCACCCATTAAGTACTTTATTGTGTGTAAAGTACGAAGTACGCGAACCGATCGGACCACTCGACGCAATAATTTCCATCATTTCCTTTCCATTTTCCCACAATAAGATAAAAAATGATCTAATTATATAAATTGCATTTTGAAAAATCAGTAATTAATAATCAATAATCAATGACAGGTCAATGAATATAATAATAAAATAACATTTGCTGTAAGAATAAGGAATGGGAATAAATGGAAATGGATTAATTGAACTGATAGTTAATTTAGCTGCAGGCATATCACATAACCGAAGCAAAATGAAGAATTCTATGAAAATATTTACCTTCTCCCCCTGGATTAATAGAACAACGTCAACTTCATCCTCGCATTGAACACACCGAAGAATATGATGAACTCTTGTGTATCGTTCGACGATAGTACTTGAGTATTCACTGAAAATCTCCAAGGAGTTTGCACAATGGCTCACCAACTTTATCGATCATGCTCAAGGGGGTAAGAAATAAAGTTTTACCTCGAAAAATTTTCATCACAATCAGGGGAATAATACAGATAAGGCTCTAGGAAACGATAATTTATTTTTTGTTATAAATATATTTTTATTTAATCGTACAATTTAAATTTTATGTGTTTTCAATATATGATTTTTTTTCGACGCCAGTTTTACGCCGAT